ATTCATTTTTAATTTTTTTTCAGATACAGTTCAACAGTATTTCACATTTGAAGTGGATGCCATTTGATTGGTGCAACAGGCTATGAATAGAAAACTTAAGTCATTTTTTTGTTATGAAATGAGATGGTTCATTTCTTTTTTTTTAAGGTCTTCAGCTCTAAATATTTCGGACTAAATCTTAAGACTGAACAGTATTTGATTAGGCAACTTTTCTTAAAACATAAATTTAAGAAATTGAAAAAAGCTTATGTTATTGTACTTCCTTTAAACTTAATCAACATGTTACTTGAATCATAATCCTCTTGTTACTTTCTGAGATATGTGCAATTTGTCTAACATATTTTGAGGATTTTTTATGTGAAAGACAACATGAAGGTTTACAAATATGATTAAGCTATGGATTCTCTCTGATGTTTAGAAGGAGAGACTTATACAAAGGCAGCCAAAATATAAGGTAGAATGTCATAATCGTTCTAATAGTCACTGGAGCATGAGCAAGGAGAGAAATTTTGACTGAGGGTATCAGAGAGGTCTTCATGGAAGAGGCAGTATTTTTTCTGGGTGGTAAGAGTACAGTAGGATTTGAGGATTAAAGAGACAAGTAGATTTTGTGACTAAAGGAACAAAGCTTGCTCTGGGACCAATGAGTAGTTTTGACATGCTTGAACACTGCTCTCTATGGTCTGTCTAGGTGAGTGTGATAGTAGATAAGATCGGAAAGATGGGCAAGAGTCATCAAGAGATACTTGGATCAAATTGGAGTTATCCTGTAGGCACAAGGAAACTTAAAGAATTAAAGTTGAAAGTAACATTATCATAGTTTTGCTTTTAAAACTAGGGGGGAAATGGATTGAGTTGTTAAAATGGAAACAGAAACATTTATTTTAGATCCTAGCCACCTTTTATTACCGTTATCCTCATAGTGGTTCTTCCTACTTCATTCTCAAATGTGGAAAAGACGAGGAGGGAATAGATTTTTAAAGTGAAGAGGCAAAAAGAGAAGTGAAGAGCAAAGGAGTGATTTCTTCACTAAATTCTTCCTATGGTATTATTTTCTAGTTGCAGAATGTACAATATGTTTTGTAAGAACACCATGCAAGTTGTTACTGGCAGATATTCTTTTAAGTTTTTATACTTGTTTCAGTAAATTGTATTCTCAAGAAATATGTTAGGGGTTGGCGTTTTCTCGCCCCAACCTTCGCCAGAGGGGCTGCAGCATCATGACAGGCCCTGAAGCAAGGCGGCGAGTGGCTTCCTGCGCCGCGGGGCTGGGGGGCTGGGGGGGGAGCGCGGACGGAGGGGGATGAGGAGGCAGCCACCCTCCCGGAGCAGCCGGAGCTTGAGCACGAGCACGAGCCCGAGGCAGCGAGCGGCGTGAGCGCGGGGCTCCCGGGGGCCCGGAGCGCGCACAAGGTGCACCTGCCGTCCTCCCGGACTGCTAGGAGCCACGGGAGGAGCCAGCGCCCGGCGAGAAGCTCAAGAGGAGGTGCCGGCAGAAGCTAAAGAAGTACGGCAAGAATGTTGGGAAGGTCATCACCAAAGGAAGCCAGTACGTGGTCATCAACCTGCAGGGCTTCGACGTGGTCTACTCCGCCCCATTCGGAGGAGCCATCAGCGTGGTCTGGTTCCTCCGCTAATGGGAGCTGCGGGGGCAGACACACAAAAATGGATGGAAGTTCTGCTCTGGGAGCTGTGCCAATCCCGGACCATTTCAGACCTGAACCCACAAAATCCTTGGAGGAAAACAATGTCTTTCTTTGTTGAATTGGATGAATGGAACATCCCTGCCCATCCATTGAGCTTTTCATGACTCTAGGACACAGGTGGCTCTGATGGACGGCCCAGCAGAGAATTAGGCCCACGTTAGGTTTGGGATTATAGTGTGCTAACACAGAAGCCTTCACGTTGAGGTGGCACGGGGCTGGCATGGAGGCAGATGCTTCACAGACGGGAGCACTCTGGGTGGGTAGCGTAGTGGTGATTACAAAGGGGAAGAGGGACTTTGACCTGGACTAAGATGATTTGTTATGTTCTGGAAAGGTCACCCTGACATGGCACTCACAGCCTTGGCTGCCTCTGTTCTGGGGGCAGCAGAGGAGCTGTTTGTCAGTCTCGTGCCCCAGCTCCTTCCTCCACCCCTTTGTCACCTGGAGTTTAATTATGGGCTTGAGAAGAAGGAAGGAAGGAAAATCTCTCTGAAGGTTGTGATACTTTGTTGATGACCTGTGTGACTATATAAAGCAGATAAAGCTTGTGATTCACCCCCACCCCCACCCCCGTGACACGAATGTGCAGCTGGCGGTGAGGGAAGGAGGGAGTTCAGACGCAGGCCAGGTGGGTTCAAGAGGTCGCTTGAGCAAGTGCTCCTGTTGCACCCAGGCCGTCCCAGTCTGGCTTTGTGTTTGGAGCTGCCAGGCACCATCGCCTCCTGACAGCCGTTCAGCGCCTCTACGCCAAGCCACCGAAGGCACTTCGTCTTGGGAGAGAGGGAGACGCTACGCTTGGAAAGAAAGTGTGTGATTTAGAGAAGAAGCCAGGAAGTAGGAGACAGGTGTGCTGGAAGTCGAAACAAGAAAGATGGTGGATAGGAGGAGTGGAAGTATGGGAGCCAGGTCTGGTTTATCAGCCCTGGGAAATCTTAGGTGGGTGGGCTTTCAGCTCCGGGTAGGGACCAGGGATGCTGGGTGACTAGGGTGCTTTAAATCCCTCCGAAGCCCAGAGCTCTCACTGACTGCCTTTGTAGCATCCTTTCTTCTTTGGTGCTGCCAAGTTTGTCTGCATCTCACCTGGATTCAGAGATCAGCACCGCATGGGTCCTGGGCTGGACGCTCTGCCAGGACGACCCAGAGACTGTCCTTGGACCATTGGCCAGCGAGGTGAAAGAAAGAGGAGGCTCCTCTTACCTCTTAACATACCCCTCTCCCAACGCCTGTGATAGGCCACCCTTCCGACTATTTCCAGAATATCCAGAAGTCCAAATAGTTGTTGCTGATCAGGCTGTAGGGTGGGTAGCAGCACATGCATGTTGCCCTAAGTTCCCCAGGCCTTGCAAAGGAGGCCTCAGTGCCCACTGGTCAAGCCAACCAGGTGGCACCAGGATGTGGAGAAGCTGGGTGGGGAAGACAGACAAATGGACAGAAAAAGGAACTGGTGTAGGAGAGACTTGTAGCTAGACATTCTGGAGGCTCATGTTGAAGATGAACTTGGATACAGTTCTGCATCATTAATATTTGTGAGGAAAAGAGAAAACAAACAAACGAAGGAAGAAAGGAAGGAAGGGGAAGAAAGATAGATGTTTGGGTCACTTCTAACAATTTTGTAGGGTTAGTATGCTATTAAATTGAGGTAATAAACATTTAACTCGTTAATTAGTAACTTACCTGTTTTGAAAGTTGTTGTGGAATATTTTACTCATTTCCTCGGCAACATATTAATTTACTATGTGTCAGGCACCAGTCTTTTTTTTTTTTTTTTTTAAGATTTTATTTATTTATTTGAGAGAGAGAGAATGAGAGACAGAGAACATGAGAGGGAGGAGGGTCAGAGGGAGAAGCAGACTCCCTGCCGAGCAGGGAGCCCGATGCGGGACTCGATCCTGGGACTCCAGGATCATGACCTGAGCCGAAGGCAGTCGCTTAACCAACTGAGCCACCCAGGCGCCCCAGGCACCAGTCTTTACCCTTCTGGAGCTTATATTCTAGGAGGGAAGAAAGATTTTAAACACGTAATTAATAGTTATTTAATCAGGATCCCAATAAGTACTATGAGGGGAAAGAATAGAGTATTAGGACAGCATATATCAGGGGACTTGGCTGTTTTGGGGATTTAGGAAGTCTTTCCTAAGGGAGAGATATTTAAGCCACAACCTAAAATTGTAGTAGGCATTATCTAGATGAACAGCTGGTATAAAAGCCTGAGTTGGAAAGAAGCATGGCATCTTTGAGGAATTAAAAAGGCAGGGATGGGGGTGGGAACATGGTATGTCTGGTGTGTAGATTAGTCTAAGATTAGAGAGATGGGCAGAGGTGGGACTTTGAGGCCACACAGGGCCATACAGGCATGGTAAGGATTTTAGATGTCATCTGAGTAGAGTGAGTAGCTATTTAAAATAGGGTTTTAGAGGCGCCTGGGTGGCTCAGTCGTTAAGCATCTGCCTTCGGCTCAGGTCATGATCCCAAGGTCCTGGGACTGAGCCTGATGTCAGGCTTGCTGCTCAGTGGGGAGCCTGCTTCTCCCTCTCCCTCTGCTGCTCCCCCCTGCCTGTACTCTCTCTCTCTCCTTCTCTCACTTTCTCTCCTACTCTTTGTCAAATAAAATCTTTTAAAAAAATAAAATAGGGTTTTACATACATGAGGAATATGGTCATATTTGTTTTAAAATGAATACTCTGGCTACAGTGTGGAAAGAGATTAGAAGGGAAGCAAGAAAAGAGATGGGGCAACTAGTTAGAAACAGTGTAGGGAGGATGTTGGCATGGACTTGGTTGGTGCTAGTGGATTGGGACAGATGGAGGAAGAAAATCATCAGACTGCGTAAAGGTAGGGGGAAGGCACATGAAACTCAGTTTTCTGTGTAAGCTACTGTTTGGATAGTGGTTACATCCATGAGGTAAGGACCATATTTGTAGGGGGAATATCATGTAATCAATTTTGGTCATGTTAGGTTTGTGGTATATATGTGAGACACTGACATGGAGATACTGAGTAGGCAGTTGGATATGTGGAAATGGAACTTAAATTTAGGTATGGCCAGGTCTAGGTTTTATGTTTTAGATTAACTCTTCCAAATACAAAACATATCATGGTATATTGAAAGTATGGAATCAAGAGGAAGTAAGTGCCAAGTGCCTTATGAGAAATCTTGACAGACACAAATAGATGCTCTGGCACATGTTGTCTCCACAAAGTGATGGTTCTTTTACAACAACTTGATTTCAAGAACTGAGGTTACATTCTTGGATTTTGACAAAAATATGTTTTGCCCTGTTTTTGTTGATATAGATTGATCGTACTAAAAAACCAGCAGTCAAATTGCCTGAAGATCATAGGATAAAATCTGAAAATAAAGATCACGAGCAACAGTCTCCTCAGGATGGAAAAGTTGTTCCTGATCGTTCCACAAAGCCAGTATTTCCCCCTGCAACTGCCATGTTAACAGATGAAGAAAAAGCTCGTATTCATGCAGAAACCGCTCTTCTAATGGAGAAAAACAGACAAGAAAAAGAACTTCGAGAAAGGCAGCAAGAAGAACAGAAAGAGAAACTGAGGAGAGAGGAACAAGAACAAAAAGCCAGAAAGAAACAAGAAGCTGAAGAAAATGAAATCACAGAAAAGCAACAGAACGCAAAAGAAGAAATGGAAAAGAGAGAAAGTGAACAGGCCAAGAAAGAAGATAAAGAAACTTCAGCAAAGAGAGGCAGAGAAATAACAGGAGTAAAAAGACAAAGTAAAAGTGAACATGAAACTACCGATGCCAAGAAATCTGCAGAAGATAGGGGCAAGAGGTGTCCCACCCCAGAACTGCAGAAAAAGGCAGTGGGAGATGTGCCCCATGCCTCTGTGGCAGGAGATTCAAATTCAGGCAAGGTAAGCAGAAACAAACAGTACAAACTGCCAAGTGTGAAATAAATTATTAGATAAAAAGATGACACCAGGGGCATTCCATAAATAGGACAGACCTTTCAAGTAATTTTCTAGTGGGTGATAGATTTGTACTGATCCATCTCCATTTGCTTGCCTACTCTCCTTTGGTTGGGAATGGGATTGCTTTTTTGTCTGTGAAATGCAATGTATTTTTAGCAATTGAGATAACTAACACACATTCTTCATTTTTATATGGGAGCTATGATCAGTGTGGAGGAGTTAGGTGCCAAATATGTATATGATAGAGCTTGTATCTGCTTAGGATATGTCCAAAATCAGTGACATCTAAATGGCCCAACATCTCTCTTTGTGTATATTGATTTTTGTGGTCATGTCTATGTCATTTTGTTTGTTGCTTCATCTAATCAGTAATATTGGCAATAATCCCATTAATGTTGCCTTTTTCTGCCCTTGGCTATTCCCCAAAATAGATTCCCATAATTTTGGGGAACATTTTTCATTGTTATTCTTCTTTAACCAAATGATATCATATGTGCTTTTATTTTTTTTTCCTGTTTTATACAATTAACAATGCCTTTCCCTTTTGAACAACAAATAAGTTTTTATAATAGCAGGAACAGTTACGGCCCTTTTTACATACACGTAAATGGAAATACATTTTTGGTAGTGTGAAAATGACTTCGGATAGAAGGCAAAATACCATCTTTACAGAACGTCAACCTTTATAACTTCTGAAACAGCAGTTCAGGCATAGACCAAAATTAACAATTCATATAAATGGCACACTTACCCAGAGAACACTTACCTAATAACCTTAACTATCAAAAATAAAGCTCTCTGGGCACCTGGTGGCTCAGTCGGTTGAGTCCAACTCTTGGTTTTGGCTCAGGTCATGATCTCTGGGTCATGAGATTGAGTCCCACGTTGGGCTCTGCGCTGGGCATGAAGCCTGCATGAGATTCTCTCTCTCCCTCTCCCTCAGCCCCTCCCCCACCCCACTCACATTTGTGCTTGCTCTCAAAAAAAAAAAATATATATATATATATACACACACACCTCCTACAAAAGCCTTCTAAACACCTAAAGTTAGAGAAATGAAGCCCATGTACTAAAATGCTCTCACTTTATTCATGGGAGACTCAGAATTGTTGAGCTATTACAATTTAAATATTATTCATTGAGTAGCTATTACACACCAAGTATTTTTCCTGCATTATCTTATCTTTCTAATGATAAGTCCATGAGGTATTGCATTTACAAATAAAGTTAAAGCTTGGAGGTTAAGTAATTTGCCTAAGAGCCCATATGCAGTAAGATTCCAAAGCCACTTCCTTTCTATCTTGCTTCACTTAGAGGCAGACAGTCATAAGAACTGAAAGCATTCATGTTTCTGGGGTCTTTTAGTATAGGTGCCAAATACAAACCTAAATAGCCCTACAAATCTAGCCCTGAGATTATCACATTAGTCTTTGATGTTTCCTGTAATATATAACACATTGAAAAAAAGTTAAGATTATATATATATATATATATATATATATATATATATTACATATTGTAAGCTCTTTTAAAAGTAGGCAAAATATGTAATTTATTCTGGAATTTTATTAAAATTGTCACAAATACTTAGAAGTTTTTACTTTACTGTAGTTATTTTTTAAATAAACTATAAAATTAAAGTGAATTTTTAAAGGAACCTGTGATAGATTTTAAGAGGATTTAAAATGGATTTTGTACTTTTGAATATTGTTCTATATGAATATCCCATAATCTCTTCATTCACTTCAATATGTTCATTTTGGGAGAACATGACCACTTTGAAGGCAACCAAATCATGTGCGATTACAATAAAAGGACTGTTCAAAAGAGGTCATGGTGAATACACACCGATGACCAGCAACTTACACTTAGCTATGTATCATGGATCTATCCACAGTGATTGGCACACTTCCCTCCCCCCATGCCATTGATTCATCAGTTTCTTTTCTTCTTTACCTTTAGTGTTAGGAAATCCCACATGGGCTCTGTCACCTTTAATGAAAAATATCTACTTTGACAATAAAACTGAATAAACTTTTCAGAGGTCTCATTTTTTTTCCTCCTTTTATATTTTCAGTCTGATGGATTTACTTGTATTAGCTAGTGATTGACAGGCAAGTTTATATTGGAGGACAGTTAAAGTTTTCTTTCACTTCTGAAATTTTAATAACTTTACAGCCTGTTAAGATTAAAGGACAACCAGAAAGTGGAATTCTAAAGACTGGAACTTTTAGAGAGAATACAGAAGACACTGAAAGAAATAAAGTAAGTAGTAGTTTATTGGGTAGGGGGAAACACATGAATTATAACTATGTGGTTGTCTTTACCATGTCGTCATCCTCCATCTTAAGATCTGCTTTCTGAGGAAATCTTTGCTATCTTCCATAGCTGTGTTTTTGTTTGTTTTTACATGACTGAGCCATTTATATGCTAAAAGGAGTAGATGTTTGTCTTCCTGTTTAAAGTACAATGGTATACTCATTTTATGAAATTAGAAAATACCTAGGCCTTACTACATGATCCAGCAATTCTACTTCTAGGTATATATCCCAAAAAAATTGAAAGCAGGGTCTGGAAGAGATATTTACACACCTGTGTTCATAGCACTATTATTCACAATAGCCTAATAGCCAAAAGATGGAAGCAATATCCATCCACAGATGAGTATATAAATAAATGTGGTATATACATACAATGGTGTATTATTCAGCCTTTTTAAAAAGGAAGGAAATTTGTGACACATGCTACAACGTAGATGAATCTTCAGAACATTTTGCAAGTGAAATTAGCCAGTCACAGACAAATACAGTGTGATTCCATTTATATAGGGTGGTTGCCAGGTGGATGGGGGAAGTGGAGAGTTGTTTAAATGGGTGCAGAGTTTCAGTTTTGCAAGATGAAGAGATTTCTTGAAATTGGTTGCACAACCAATTAAGCAAATATGCTTAATATCACTAACCTATATATTTAAAAATGGTTAAGATGACAAATTTTGTTTTATGTGTACTTCATCACAATTTTTGAAATATTTAGGTCTTATAAGACATCTTTGCCTTTGTTTTTATTTTGAGTTTTATTGAGGTATAATTTGCATACCATAAAATCCACCCATTTTTAGTTTACATTTCAGTGATTTCAGTTCAGAGTTGTGAAACAACTATTAACTCAATCCAGTTTTAGAAAATTTTCATCATAGTGCCCAATTGTAGTCACTCCTTGTTTTTATCCTAAAGCCACAGGCAACCATGATCTATCTGTCTCCATAGCTAGGTCTCTTCTGGGCATATCATTTAAATGTAGTGTTGTGTGTATGTGTGTGTGTGTGTGTGTGTGTGTGTATATATGTATAGTCTTTAGCATTTGTCTTTAGTATAATTTTTTGAGATTCATCCATGTTGTAATGTGTATCAGTAGTTTATTCCTTTGTATTTGCTGAATAGTATTCCCTTATGCAGATATACCACATTTTATTCATTCACCAGTTAATGGATATTTGGATTCCTTCTGCTTCTTTTGGGCTATCATGAATAATGCTGCTGTGAACATTTGCATACAAATCTTTGTGTGGAAATAGGTTTTCATTTCTTTTGGACTGATACCGAGCAGTGAAACTGTCTTTTTGTTTTTTTAAGGAAACTTTAAAAACCACCATCATTATGGGCTTGTGCGTACACACATTTCCTTTTCCCTTGCTGGAAATATTTGGACTTCGAGACCACGTAGGATTCTTCGTTTTTAAATTTGATTTTAAAAATATTAAGGGCAGCCAACACAAGGCTTTTTGGTTTTTTGGACAGGTAGCTTAAGTCTGTATATGGCACAATTGATTTTTTTTTTTTTTGTAACTAGGCTCGAGAGCCTTTGACAAGAGCACGAAGTGAAGAAATGGGGAGGATCGTACCAGGACTGCCTTCAGGCTGGGCCAAGGTAAAACTCAAAATTAGCACATAAATAAATAATATGGTCATGTCCTTATCTAAAAAGCTTTTGTTGTTGTTGTTGTTTATTCTACAACCTCTCTAATGCAGAGTCAATTCTGTTTCTTCATAATGGAGGACATAGCTCATTTCCCTAATTACAGAATTAGAGCGGGGTTAGATTTCTCAATATATCCAATCTGAGATTCTGGCTACAATATATGAGCATTTTTGGCATTGTCATTTAGAAACAGTTTATTTAATACCTAAAGTTCTTTGGAAGTTTTATTATAGAAGTGATTATTACCATCTTATCAAATTATTTTAATCCAAAAGTAAATTTAGCAGTGGAATACTTCTGAGTGACTTTTTTGGTTTGTAATGGTCATTGTTTTTTGACCTGTTTTGTTTTTTTGTTTCTTTTCCATCTAAGTTTCTTGACCCAATCACTGGAACTTTTCGTTATTATCATTCACCCACCAACACTGTTCATATGTATCCACCGGAAATGGCTCCTTCATCTGCACCTCCTTCCACCCCTCCAACTCATAAAGCCAAGCCACAGATTCCTACTGAGCGGGATAGGGAACCGTCCAAACTGAAGCGCTCCTACTCCTCCCCAGATATAACCCAGGCCATTCAAGAGGAAGAGAAGAGGAAGCCAGCAGTAACTCCAACAGTTAATCGGGAAAACAAGTAAGTTTATTCTAAATCTTAGAACTAGAATAATCTATTTGAAAACTTCTACTCTAAACATACAAGTTTATTAATACCAGGGAGTCAGAAATTTCTGAGGATGGCTGTATCAGCCATTGTTATTTAGCACAGAAAAAAAAGAATGGATTAAATTCCTTGGTTTTTATCCCAAGTGCTAACTTAAATATATCAGGGAAGATTATCATAATACGTATTAATGTAGATATAAAAGAATATACATTATTATATTTTAGGGTAGCATGGTATAGACTAGAAGTTTTTCATAAACCTCCATGGTCCCTAAATTTCTCTTTAAGGACCATAATCTATAGGATTGTTGAGTTTATCTTGTTGCACCTAATTCCGAACTTTTTTTTTTAACTTCACCCGTACTGTGGAAGCAAATTTAAATAGTATTAAAATAACAGGTATTGTGTGTATCAGCTCCTAATCCTTACTCTGCTCTGTTTTTCTTCATTGCATTTCTGCTATTCACAAGTAGTGAATGATCAGTAGGTTCAATTATTTTTCCCAAACCAGTATCTCATTTAGATATGTTCCTGGTGTGATCCCTCCAGTGCTCTTGACTTATGATTGATAGGATTATGGGGAGATAATTGTCAAATCTACTTATCACTTCTAATCTTTACTTTTAGGGGGAGGGGTATAGATGGAAGTACAAATAAATGGGTTTATATTAGGGCTCACTATTAAAACTGGTAAGGTTTAATTCCTTCTTGAATCATCATTCTTATTAAAGTTTAATTTGAAGACTTAAAGTTTTTGAAAACAATCACACATGCAGTTTATGTATTTTTATGTGTTCAACAGAGGAGTACATGAATGCATACACCAGAGCACATGTAAAGAAAAGCTGAAACAGTTTAATCTGTTCTTAATATTCCTTTCAGGGGTGGAAGTGTGCTTAGGATCAATAATAAAAAGATCAGTTAAGATTTTTCTTAATGCTATAGCAGTTCTAGAAGCTCTGCATGTAAGTCAAATACACTAAGTAACAAAAGTCTTAAAGACATTCTCTAGTCCAGTGCTGTTCAGTATGGTAGTGGTTATTTAGAATTGTAGCAAGTGTAACTAAGGAGCTGCATTTTTAGTTTAAAATTTAAATAGCTACCTGTGGCCAGGGGCTACCACATTTGTCAGCACACCTCTGTGTTTCAGGTAATAGTACCCAAATAATCCCTGCCTCTTTTGATATCTGTTCCACATAATAAGCTTTTTATTCTTTGGCATTCTGGTTGAGCTCAACATTTGGTAATGCTAAACTTCCTAGGATTATTTAAAGGAATTTGAAAGAACCTTCTCTACCAGAAGACTGCCTGTTCATGAGAAGCCAGGGAATCTATCTCAAGGTGTAAGAACCATAGACCCACATAAGAGGTTAAAGATACTTGTTACAAGGCGCCTGGGTGGCTCAGTCGTTAAGTGTCTGCCTTCAGCTCAGGTCATGATCCCAGGGTCCTGGGATTGAGCCCCGCGTTGGGCTCCCTGCTCTGTGGGAAGCCTGTTTTCCCTCTCCCACTCCCCCTGCTTGTGTTCCCTCTTTCGCTCGGTCAAAAAAAACAAAATCTTACTTTAAAAAAAAAAAAAAAAACTTGTTTCTTGGGAGGATCACAGAATATAACCAGTGTTACCTAGATAATAAATGTCTTGTAAAACCCAGTACCTTATGACTTATTAACTATTTACAAGATTACTGTGTCCTCTGGTACCAGTGCTGGAGTTTGTTAATTTTAGATGCTATGCATTTTAAGACATTGTGTACATTTTTTCTTCCTCAGGCCCACATGCTACCCTAAAGCTGAGATCACTAGGCTTTCTGCTTCTCAGATTCGGAACCTCAATCCTGTTTTTGGAGGATCTGGACCAGCTCTCACTGGACTTCGTAATTTAGGAAATACTTGTTATATGAACTCAATACTGCAGTGCCTATGTAATGCTCCACATTTGGCTGATTATTTCAACCGAAACTGTTACCAGGATGATATTAACAGGTAAAGAAGTTTCATACTGGTTACAATATAGTATTAAAAGGTTGATCTAACCACACTTCCTTACCACCCAGCTCCAGAGAAGTCAAATGAGGAAAGGGGAAAAAATATCTTTATTCTTAAGAGAAATTTGAGAAAAGCCTTCTCTGATTGGTAAAGGACAGACAGGAGAGGAGCAGTGCAAGAAGGCAGAACCTCAGTCATCAGCTGGAGCCTGTTGAAGAGGAGGAGTTCGCAGCCCAAAAGAAGCAAGTTGGCAGGGTATAATCAAAGTAAGATTCAGATGAGGATTTAGTAATAAACCTGTGAATAAGTACTTCAGTGTTGGGTTACAGTATGTGAAGAATTTAATGTTGACCTCAAGAACCCACTGTACCTTGACTTTCAAAAACTTGCTTTTTTTTTCGTAACTTTATTTGCAAAGGTCAAATTTGTTGGGGCATAAAGGTGAAGTGGCTGAAGAATTTGGCATAATTATGAAAGCCCTGTGGACCGGACAGTATAGGTATATCAGTCCCAAAGACTTTAAAATCACCATTGGGAAGATCAATGACCAATTTGCAGGATATAGCCAGCAAGATTCACAAGAACTGCTTCTGTTCCTAATGGATGGTCTCCATGAAGATCTAAATAAAGTAAGAAATTTGATTTTTCTAAGTTATAAAGGCTCTTTAGGGTTGCTCAACACTGTAATTTTTATAGCAATTTAAAATTATAGTTAGTGATTGTTCAGTGCTAGTTTTCAAATCTCGTGACTTTGTATTAAGGCAGGGAACTATAAAACAAATATATCTGATAGGTCTAATATTTTAAAAGAAATACATAATTTAGGGCGCCTGGGTGGCTCACTCGTTAAGCGTCTGCCTTCGGCTCAGGTCATGATCCCGGGGTCCTGGGATCGAGTCCCGCATCGGGCTCCCTGCTCGGCAGGAAGCCTGCTTCTCCCTCTCCCACTCCCCCTGCTTGTGTTCCTGCTCTCGCTGTCTCTCTCTCTCTGTCAAATAAATAAATAAAATCTTTTAAAAAAAATAAAAAATAAATACATAATTTATAATTGCTTATTAAAATGGTAGGTTGTATTGTGAGAAATTTTAAATATTGAAATAGTTGTTAGAGATAACTTTGTGACCACATGTATGTGAAAGTAAATTTAAACACAAAATTTATAAAAGATTAGCTGTATACCACCTGAACATCTTTATTATTGTTTATATATTTTATATATATCATTTTTATTTTTCTTTTCCTAAAATAAGCATTCCCACATGTAACCAGAGGACTCATGTGAATAGTTACTGAGGCATGGATCTCTGATACCTTTGTTGTTACCACTGAACATATATGTATATTATATATACACACACACACGTGTGTATAAATACGTATTTTGTGTGTATGTGTATGTGACTATATATAAAGTATATGTGTATCCATCCATGGAGCCTCGGACAACAAATAAATTCTGTCTAGTTGTAGCCCTAATTCCCAGATAGCCTCTCTTTTCAAAAGCAAAATTTTCAACATAAAAAAATAAAATACATGTTTATTTAAATTTTTAATTCCAGTTAATATTAGTTTCAGGTATACAATATAGTGACTTCCATACATCACCCGGTGCTCATCATGACAAGCGCACTCCTTAATCCCCATCCCTTAAGAAAATGTATTTTATTAATTTCTGTTTAATAAGTCCTACAAAGCGCCTGGGTGGCTCACTTGGTTAAGCATTCGACTCTTGGTTTCGACTCAGGTCATGATTTCGTGGTTGTGGGATCGAGCCCCACACTGGGCTCTGTGCTCAGTGCAGAGGCTGCTTCAGATTCTCTCTCCCTGTCTTTCACACTCTCTTTCTCAAATAAGTAAAATCTTTAATAAATTAATTAAAATAAATCATACCCTTCTGATAAAGTAGGGTTGGGGGGTGAGGATTTTTGGCTAGAATTTTTTTGTAGTACTTAATGAGATTAGAACTCCTTCATGAAAGGAAGAAGTGTTTCTAAATCTACAACATGTATGCCATATATTCTTTCAATTTTAAATTTAAATTTCGACTTTGAGATATTAATATAAATTTTAATATTAATCTTATTTCCAGGCTGATAATCGGAAGAGACATAAAGAAGAAAATAATGATCACCTTGATGACTTTAAAGCTGCAGAACATGCTTGGCAGAAACACAAGCAGCTCAATGAATCTATTATTGTTGCACTTTTTCAGGGTCAGTTCAAATCCACGGTACAGTGCCTCACCTGTCACAAAAAGTCTAGGACATTTGAGGCCTTCATGTACTTGTCTCTACCCTTAGCTTCTACAAGTAAATGTACATTACAGGTAAGCTCAAAGGAAAATGATTTGTTGAATAAAAGCTGTTTATGCATACAAACATATACTTTATTCAGTAACTTCTGCTCTTCACCCCTATGAACGTTTTATAGGTAAAATTCCCACATACATTTTGTTTTAATTATGTGTGTGTATAGTAGAAAAAATTAAAGATTTTTTTTAGTTTCCCTTTTTTTTTTTTTTAAAGATTTTATTTATTTATTTACTTGAGAGAGAGAGTGCACAGGAGATGGGGGAGAGTCAGAGGGAGAAGCAGACTCCCTGCTGAGCAGGGAGCCCAACGCGGGGCTCGATCCCAGGACTCCAGGATCATGACCTGAGCCGAAGGCAGTCGCTTAACCAACTGAGCCACCCAGGCGCCCCAAAGTTTTCCTTTTTAAAACATATTTTCCTATTAAATATTCTTTCAGCATTAAATGTTTTTTTAAAGTTTGCACTTTGAAGTTTGAAAATCGTATAGTGATTTTAATTTAGGTTCACTTTTATAAGAATTTGCTCTACCTGGGGATCAAATAGCCTGTTTTCCTCACAACAGTGTAATTTAGCTAGCTTGTTGATACCTTTGTGTTTGCTTCCTTGAGAATGTCCTTTCTTCCAGCAAGACTTCCGGAGGCAGCAGGTAGAGCGCAGACACGCAGGACTGCTTCCCTCCGCCCCTGGCAGCGCTCACCACACACTGCACTCTTGTTACTGTCAGCGCTCCCCTCTGGGCGCGCCCCTAGGTCATAAACTTTACGAGCAGAATAACTTCTCGAGTAGATGCCCAGTGATACTGTGAAGAAATGAATTAATGAGTAACTACTACTTGGTTTTGCCTCCAGGATTGCCTTAGATTATTTTCCAAAGAAGAGAAGCTCACAGATAACAATCGGTTTTACTGCAGTCACTGCAGAACTCGACGGGATTCTTTAAAAAAGATAGAAATCTGGAAGTTGCCACCTGTGCTTTTAGTGCATCTGAAACGGTAAAGGAAACAAATTTTTCTACAATAGTAGATGAAGGAATTCTAAGTCCTTCATTTTAAGTCATTTTGTTGTATTGCCTGCTAAGGATGCATTACAAAGGAAGATTATCTCAGGGAAATAAGGCAGAAATGAGAGACTCTAGTTCCTTACCTTAGTGTTTGCAATGACAGAGCAAAATGATAACATGACTCTTTCATGTAATTTCATCTTTAAAAAAAAATGAAATTTAATTATTGCATTTCAAATATAGAAATTTCACATCATTATAAAACATCAAATGAAAATGTATTTACACAGAACAGAAATGATTAGCCAATAAAATTTATCAAACAGTAAACTAAAAAAAGAATCCTGTGCTGAAGATGAAATATAGAATGTTTTAAAGAATTATTTTAGAGCGAGTATGCCCATGTGGAGGCAAAGTCTGAGAAGTTTGAGAGTCTCAGACTCCGTGCTGAGCACAGAGCCCGACGCAGGGCTAGACCTCATGATCTGAGATCACGACCTGAGCTGAAGAGTCGGGCATTTAACCAACCGTGCCACCCAGGCGCTCCTGAAACATAGGAGGTTTTTTAAATGTAGTCTTAAAGATGTTAAGGATGCCATTGTTGGGTGCAGACATTTTTGTCCAGATTTTTCCCTGGACCTGACCCTGTAATAGAAGGAATAATAGCAGATAGTTGTAAACATGTCCCAGGTCTTCCGATTTTTTTTTTTTTTTGTCTCTATATATAATCTATCCATGGAGTGATAACTATGAGTCATTATTTTGAAGAACTTTTTAAGCTTAATCTTTTTATTGAGAACTGTAATTTTTGTTTCAAAGAATATTTAATTCGTTTCATTTTGTATTATTGGAGATTCTTTGGCAGTTACTATAATTTCAACATTGATGTGTTCAGATTCCTCATGTAAATTTTCTAACAAGCTTGTTTACAGTTTTTTTTCTTGAAGATTGTAGAGGTATAATAAACATTCTATAAATGATTACATATTTAATATAAATGGTTCAGAATTCAGTTTTTGAAAATTAACTCTGAAATAATATAATAATATGTAATATTACTGTATATATTATAACATACCAATATTTTGGTGTTTAAAGGAGCAGAGTATGTCAGGACAGTGGAATGCCACTGCAGTTTTCCCCTGCTATGCAAAAAGAGTATTCCTGTGAGATCTTTCGTAAGCCAAAATGGTAAAAAGCAAAGAAGCAGTTACCATTAATTTATATGGAAAATCTTTGAACATTTCCAGACCCCAAAAATAACCTTCTCTTGGGCTTTTCTGATACCTTAGGGACACATCTTGCTAACACAGATGCCACCAGACAATTCAGAGCTGTGGCGGCTTGATGCTGAGTATTCCAGGCAGGAGCTTGGTGATACCTGGTGGTACCGCTCTCGCTGCTCGCCAGGGTGCCTGCCGCCTCCTCCAGCTTAGTGCAAAACATGCTGCCGAATGCTGTTGGCACTTTTCACCTTTTTTCTTAAAAGCAGAAATCCTCTTCAGATTTCTTTTGGTTAGCAAAAACAGGTACTAATACAAGTCTTCCCTAAAACGAAGCAGTGTCACGCCAACTTTTGAAAAGCAGGGGGTACCTGTGTAGTCTGTGTGCTCGCAGTTTCCAGCTCCAGTGTCCCCAGCAGTACAGTCTTAAACGTATAGAGCAGCTCTCCTCAGTCTTCTGTACTTGTGTGGTGACTAGCATTGTCAACATGGGACTTCATAGCTTGTTACCTTTGTAGACTCATCTAACGGTTCTAGCTGGCTTAGGGCTCAAGGGACCAAGGTAGGACTCTGTCTCTACGACCCTTAGCTGTTTGACTTAGGGCAAGTCATTTCATATCTGTGTGCCTCAGTTTTCTCGTTTGTAAGGTGGAAATGAAGCCATATGTCTTTACAGGTCCTTCCACTACTGAAATTCTGAGTGTGTTTGAAATGGTTTATGGTCCTGGCTAAAAATCTAGAATGTTAAGGAATGAATTAGAGTCCTTCTGATATTTTTGGTCTGTTGGTATAATTGCTGTCATGTTTTGCTCTGCAGTTTTTCCTACGATGGCAGGTGGAAACAAAAATTACAGACCTCTGTGGACTTCCCGTTAGAAAATCTTGACTTGGCACAGTATGTTATTGGTCCAAAGAACAATTTGAAGAAATATAATTTGTTTTCTGTTTCAGTAAGTATCTTGAACTAGAAATTTTCATATTTTGCTTAGAAAAAGTTTCAAGTGGTTCCTTACTATATAGGAAAACAGAGCTTTGAATTATTTAAAATATGTTGAATATGTTGATAATTTCAGTTTGAACTGATTTTCAATCTCGTTTGGCACAGAATCACTACGGTGGGCTGGATGGAGGCCACTACACTGCCTATTGTAAAAATGCAGCAAGACAGCGGTGGTTTAAATTCGATGATCATGAAGTTTCTGATATCTCTGTTTCTTCTGTGAAGTCTTCGGCAGCTTATATCCTCTTTTATACTTCATTGGGACCACGAGCAACTGACGTAGCCACATAAGGAGAAGTAGGTTATAAGCTAGTTCTCTTTTAAGAAGCTGAGCAACACAACTCTTGACATACTTACAAAGATACTGGCTAGCTATAGCTGGCCCTTTAGAGGAATTCTAGGACAGTGGGAGCTGTGTTACTATCACCATATATTTTAGGTCAGTGCTATTATCGAAAAATTGACTAATATGTAACAAGTATCGCAGTAAGCACTCCTTACAGGTACCATTTATTTCCAAACCTTTATAGTTTGCTCCAAAGTTAAGGTAATTAACTAGCTAAGCATTATTATTCTATAGCATTCTATTCTAAAAACCATTATATCCTTTATTTTCCTTTTCACTGTATGGCCTTTTCACATTTCTAAATCCCAGCTTGATCTATGAATACTCTAGAATGATGTAAAGCAGATAGGAATGTATGTGTATATATTTATTGCACACTTGCACATCAAATCAATGTACATAGTATAATATGTGGTCCTTTTGTGAAGCCTAGAACTCAGAGGATTGTTTTTCTTTTGGCCTATTCTGAGTAACTGCAGTGCTTTCTTAGGGAAATGACAGGGCAAAGCTATTTTTTTGTTGGCTTTGGGCTGTATTTGTGCACTAAATCTTTATTCTAAAAAAAAAAAAATGGAAACTTTTCTTTAATTTTTTAAAATGAGAATTTTCATTTACACCTACATTAAAATCTTAATGAGAAAAATAATTTAAAACCCTGTAAGTGTTGTCTTTAATTTTATATTAGCAAACCATTTTATACACACACACACACACACGATCCTACTATATTGACTTAATATTTAGTTCATTTACCCTGTTATATTAGGACCCGACTTTACTCTGCCTTCAACTTGATCCAAAACTGCATAGGATTCTCAGAGTTGGGAGTCAGAATTAAAATAGAAAGGGATAGGAATCAGACATGACTGCAAAGTGAACTGCATTAAGAACCACACCTTTACAAAATGATGTATTCAAAGAGAGAGAGGAGCTTAGAATTTATTATTACCTCATGGACTCAGGTGCTATAGATGAAATAAATAAAAACTCTCCATATAAAAATAAGATTGTAAAAGGTACTTCTGAATGGACTGTCAGGGAGAGGATGAAAGGATGGGTTTTGAATTGTGAGGTTGGCAGCCTTTCATGTTCTGCAGTTGGTCTAAGAGACTTATTAGAGTTCTTGGCTAAATTGTCTGATCAATGAAATATTTTAAATCATATTCTTAAGGTCACAGAGCCACTTGAACAAAACTTACTTTGGTTCAAGTAAGGGTGCAGACATTTGGTGGATATATGTGAGATACTCTATGATAAAGAATTCACCTTAATAAACATTGAATTTTGAAGCCTGAAATTGATACATAATTTGCAGTGATTTGAAGGTCCCCATCGATTAACATTTCATTATTTTCATGCTGCCTTTTTTGGTAGGCCCAGACCTATCTTCTTTGGTAGAGCCTTATCATATAAAAGGGTACACAATATACAAGACTTAAAAATGTCAGTGATGCAAATAAGTTGCAAGAGTTTAATGACAAAGCAAAACTTAAGTACCAGTTTCTGATTGCTTGTTTTGCAATTTTCAGGAAATAGCATTTTTCCTAGCTCTTACGTTTTTTTATAGGTATAGAAAAGGGCTGGCAGCTATAGAACAGGAGATAGGCTGTAGCAGTTTGAACTGAAGTATCTGGAATCTCACTGACTCGTGTGTCATCAAAGCTATACCAGGCCTGGGTCACTGAGTTCTTGCAGAAAGCAGTGTAGTGGCCACCATCCAGGTCACCGAAGTGGTTCTAGGGGAAGAAGGAATGTCGGACTTAGTATTCACATGCAAATAATTCTATTGGAACAAAAAAGATAGGGCCAAGAATATTTTTCATAATTGTCCCTTACGCTAAGTTAAAAGGAAGTAGTAATACTGTTAAATCCTACATATGGCCTAACTGCTATATTATTTTTCATTCATTGAACTGCTTATATATTGGGCCCATTGACTATGTAAAGAGCCCGTGAATGAAATAGGATAGTATTTGGCAGCATCGAATATCATTGAATGCTGAGCACCTGCTACACATAGACTATTAAAGATTAAAGGAAATTGTAAAATAAGAAAAGTGCTCTTTCCTAAATGAGCTTACAGTTTAATTTTGAAGATAGGCTAAGGAGAGACATGAAAAAAAGACAACGTTGGGACAAGACGTTTCAACAACTGCATATTGCTACAACACAATCTGAGGAGCTTGGGCAGCAACAACCCCCTTAGTCATGTAGCATCCAAAGAAGAACCTGTTCCATTCTCTTTTTCCCCATGTCTTTCCTAACCCAGTAAAGGAATGTTTGAAACATGCTGGAGAACCCCACTTCTCAGCAGATGGATGATGTAGAGCAGAGGTAACAAACCGGTTGCCCTTGGGCCAAATGCAGCCTGTTTTTGCGTGGCCTGGGAGTTAAGAATGCATTTCATATTTTGTATGGTTGAAAAAATAAAAATATTTTGTGACGTGAAAATTACATAAAACTCAAATTTCAGTAAATAAAGTTTTATGAGGACACAGCCATGCTCATTCGTTTCGTTACTCAGTGGCTGCTTTCAGAATACAACAGTAAAGCTGAATAGTTGCAAAAGAGACCATATGGCCCATGAAGCCTAAAATATTTACTATCTGGCCTTTTACAGAGTAAGTTTGCTGACCCCTGGTATAGAGGAAAGGTTTTATTTTTTTATTTTATTTTTTTTATTTATTTATTTGTCAGGACAAGCAGGGTAGCGGCAGGGAGAGGGAGAAGCAGGCTTGCCCATGAGCAGAGAACCCAATGCGGGGCTTGATCCCAGGATTCTGGGATCATGATCTGAGCTGAAGGCAGATGCTTAACCCACTGAGCCACCCAGGCGTCCCAGGAGATGGATTTTTATAATCATTTCTGACTGAATTCAGCTCTAATACTGCACAATGACCTTAAGAAAATTATTTAAACCTTCTGAGCTTTAATTTCCCCATCTGTGAAAATGGGGTAATAAGACACGTCTTATACAGCAGTTATCCGGTATCTTTGGTATTACAGAACTAGCACATAGGCGGTACTTACTAAATGTTCCCTTAGACCTTCATTTTCCCTACCTCTCACGTTACATGTTACAAAAATATCTCAAAGCTGACACTTAAAAGATCCAAGCTCTAGTCCTGGTCCTTGCCCTGTGACCTTAAGCTGACATGCTTCAGCTTCCTTATTTATAAAATGGTGCCCATGATAGTATGATGTAATTGGAGAAAAAGACATTTGGTGGATATGTAGTATCCAGAAGACGAAGTATTCTTGTTCTGAATGGATCAAACTAATCACAGCTAGAGTATTATGTTCAGTTTGGATAACTATGTAAAAAAAAATTTTTGACATAATAGAAGGTAAAGCATCTTTCTAGACTTAAATTTCAACAGTTAATGGCAGACAATTTGCGTGAAAGCCTTAGTTACAAAACTAAGGAAAGTTGGATAAACTTGGTAAACACACTTTGAAATGCATGGCTGATACTAAAAGATTTTATAGTGAGAGTAATCCCCAGGGGCCAAAAATAGGAAATAAAAGAATAGCCAGATACATGGTTGATACCATGACTGCCTGGGCATAAAGACAGTTCCTGGTCCCTGGAACTAGGGTGCCCGGATTTCAAAGGTTCCCCATGCACAAGAGGTAAAGTCTTAGGTTTCTGCAAGGCGAGGCATTGAATTGGGAGCCACACACATAGCCAGGATTCTTAAAGAGACTCACCCTCAGTAAAGAATAAACTAGTACTTGTCTTAGCTTATGCTCTTGGTGCAGAGACGGTCATTCCTGGAATTTGTTACCACAGACTTACTGGAGATTCAAAATTACACTACCTACATGGCCTCAGAAGCCTGTGAATTTATTCTGGGGGTTATTTTGAGAATTATTTGGGTGGCACTTGGCAAAAGGAAAGAGAATTACATTCTGTTTCTGGAGAGGTGTGCCTAATTCAGGCTGAATGGGATACACACATATAAAACCGCAGTGATGTTCAGCTCACAGTTCAGAATTACAGAACACACATGGAAACAACCCCCATGAGTAAAAGTCAGAAGGCAATAAATGGCATGATTAACAACCCCTCCCGAGGACTTTAGATAATAGATTTACCAAATAAAGACTCCAAAACCATGTTTAAACTGATCAACAGGGGCGCCTGGATGGCTCAGTCGTTGGGCGTCTGCCTTCGGCTCAGGTCATGATCCCAGGATCCTGGGATCGAATCCCGCATCAGGCTCCCTGCTCTGTGGGAAGTCTGCTTCCCCCTCTCCCAGTCCCCCTGCTTGTGTTCCCTCTTTCGCTGTGTCTCTCTCTATCAAATAAATAAATAATCTTAAAAAAAAAAAAGTGATAGACAAGGGCGCCTGGATGGCTCAGTCAGTTAAGTGGCTGCCTTCAGTTCAGGTCATGATTCCGGGATCCTGGGATTGAGCCCCACATCGGGCTCCCTGCTCAGCGGGGAGCCTGCTTCTTTCTCTTCCTCAGCCTGCAGCTCCCCCTGCTTGTGCTCTCTGTCAAATAAATGAATGAAATCTTTAAAAAAATAAAATAAAAAATAAAGTGATACTTAAGGAAGCTAACAAAAAACTAAAGAAACTTCCAGAAGTGAAAAATACTTAAAAATTCAGTATAAAAAAGTTGGTGTAGAAATTAAATAGTACATAGAATTCGCGAGACAATGAATAAACTATAAAAATGAAACTAAGGAAATTATCCTGAACGCAGTAGTGATGAAAAATTGAATAAGAAGATTCAGTGTATGCCTAGAAGTTCTAAAAGAAAAGAGTGTATTATAGGAGCAAGACCATATTAAAAGTGTTAATAATGACTGGAAACTATTAATAAAAGTCATGAATCTTCAAATTTGGGAAATAAAACAAACCAAGGGTAAATAAACTGCAGAACAACAAAAGCAAAGAAAAAAATCTTAAAAGCAACCAGAAAGAAAAGACAACCCACATTTCTGCAGAAACTTTACAGGCCAGAAGGGATTGTCCTGATATCCTCAAAATGCTGAAAGGAAAAAACCTGCAGTGAAGAATACTCCACCCAGCAAGGTTATCATTCAGAAGTGAAAGGGAGATGAGGTGCTCGCTTCGGCACTGCATATAGTAAACACTGCAGCATGACAGAGAAGTTTAGCATGGCCTCTGCATGAGGATGACAGGCAAATTCATTAGAGAGAGTTTCCCCAAACAAAGGTGAAAGGAGTTCATCCCCACTAAACCGGCCTTACAAGCAAGGTTAGAGACTTAAGTGAAAAAAGGCCATAAACTAGAAGAAAATTATGAAAGGAAAAATTTTCACAGGTAAAAAAGCAAACACACAGGAAAGGTGGTAGATCAATCACTAAGCTAGAATAAAGGTTAAAACACGAAAGTAGTATAAATTATATTTAGATATAAATTATATCTACAAAAATTAAGGAATATCAAAAAGATGTAAAATAGGACATGGATATACATAAAACTTGGAGTAAAATGTGCTTTTAGAATGTATTCAAACTTAACCATCACAACTTAATATAGACTGCTATATACAGGGACGCCTGGGTGGCTCAGTCGTTAAGCGTCTGCCTTCGGCTCAGGTCATGATCCCAGGGTCCTGGGATCAAGCCCCACATCAGGCTCCCATCTCTGCGGGAAGCCTGCTTCTCCCTCTCTCACTCTCCCTGCTTGTGTTCCCTCTCTTGTTGTGTCTCTATCAAATAAAATCTTTAAAAAAAAAAAAAAAGACTGCTATATACATAGGATGTTATATATGAACCTCGTGGTAACCACAAACCAAAAACTTAGGATACACAAAAAATAAAGGAGTCCAAGCCTAACACTGAATAAAGTCAGAGAGCAAGAGAAGAAAGGAATAGAGAGGAACTACAAAACAATCAGAAAGCAATTTAAAAAAATTGCAATAAGTACATACCTTTTGACACTTCAAATGGAAATGCGCTATATGATCCAATCAAAAGACAGCATGACTGAATGGATGAAAAATAAGCCCCATCTATAGGCTGCCTAACAAGAGTCTCACCTCAGACCTAAAGACACAGAATGAGGCGCCTGGCTCAGTCGGTATAGTGTGTGACTCTTGATCTCAAGGTTGTAGGTTTGAGCCCCATGTTGGGTGTAGAGATTACTTAAAAATAAAATCTAGGGGCGCCTGGGTGGCTCAGTCGGTTAAGCGTCTGCCTTCGGCTCAGGTCATGATCCCAGGGTCCTGGGATCGAGCCCCGCATCGGGCTCCCTGCTCAGCAGCTGCTTCTCCCTCTCCCACTCCCCCTGCTTGTGTTCCCTCTCTCACTGTGTCTGTCAAGTAAAATCTTCAACAAAATAAATAAAT